AAAAATCAAAACAAAGACATTTGCATTTCTAAAATGCAATCTTTTGTGAATATTACCTTAGGAGAAAATAAAATACGTTTGACTTGATGCTGTCTCTAGTAAAATGGCCACAGGGACAGGTCTAAATGGCTTATTAAGTAAGAAAGATTGAACGTATGAAATATTGTTCTCTCCTAGAATATTTCTAACCCACACATGTAATTTATATCATGGCAAAATTCAATACAAAAGGTCTACTGTTTTTTTGGCAAAATAACCTGCAAACATGCTTAATTAGGATGCAAACTGAAAGCACAGTTTAATACTGTTGACAGCCATGAACTTTAGACAGCAATTTCTATTATTATTATTTCACTTATGGAAACATATGAAAAGCAGTAAATATGGAACTAGAAGACAACATTATTGAAGACATGTAGCATTTTAATTTTACAATTCTCATTTGTGTGTCAACATCACAAATATGCTCTGAACATCCCTAACTTGGAAAGGAAATGAAAGAAATTGTTTTTGGAATGAAAGCTTACTCCCATGGATATTTGAAAAAGATGTCAGCATTTAAGTTAATCAATATCTGTTTCGAGTGAGCTTTACTTTGAGAAGTGATGGCCTCTTTCTGGGGAAGACGGATAATTCTTTATACTGACATTCCATTCCATTTACTGCAAGATGTAAATGAATGCCTCCATTAAAGGAATTCCATGGTCAGTTAATACCCAAAGCAGTCTTTTCTCTATCGTAACCACTTATTCACCATTCAGTAGGAACAGCTAGATCCTAAAAATAAATCTGAGTGAATATAACGCAAGGCACCATTTTCAAACTCATAATCCCAGTTTTTCCAGGGCTGTGTTTTATAGTTCTCTTTTTTTTATGGATTATAGAATAAGGATGTGAAAAGGGAGGTCCAGGTTACAAGTCTGAATGAGGAACAAGAGGAATTTGGTTATATTATCTGGATATTCTAGCCATTTCACTTATTTAAATTTTAGCAACTCTTTTTTTTTTACGATAACTATGTGTGTCAAAATGCAAGATGAAATGTAGAGTTAAGGCATTACATGGTACTGTGGAAAGAGTTCTGACCTCTGGTTCTTCCCCTCCCCTTGCTGTATGACCTCAGATAAATTATTTCAGTAAGTTTAAGCTCTGAGCCCTAACTTCCCCTTTGGTTTCCTCATCTGAAGATGACAATTATTGTGATCAGGATCAGGCAAAATCATGGAGTCCACAAAAATGGTTTTAATAGTATGAAATGGCATAGAAGGTTGGGTATTTCTGTGATAACTTGAAAAATGTATCTGCCAGAGATCACCAATCTGAAGAGTTAAAGTTAAAAACTTCAGGAGTGGATGTCTGACCTGAGTTATCTGGGCTTACTGTTTCACGGTCTTATTTTCCCTCTCTTAGACATAGCCTTTGAGTTGAGTAAAATGTGAAAAAGTTAGCTAGGTCCTCTGTTTTATGAGATTCTATTATATTTTTCACGGACTTATTTCCTAGTTTGAAAGTAACACACGCTTATTGTAGAAGCTTCCAAAAGCTCAGAATGGTATAAGGAAAAGGGCTTTCCCTCCACTGCTGCTTGCTTTCTCCTGCTCTCCCTTTCTTTCGTCCTCCCCTCTCCCCTCTTTTCTCTCTGTCTCCCTCCCTCCCTCCCTCTCCCTGTTTCTCTCTCTCTCTCTCTCTCTCTCTCTCTCTCTCTCTCTCTCTTTCTCTCTCTCTCTCTCTCTCTCTCTCTCTCTCTCTCTCTCTCTCTCTCTCTCACCTCTCTCTCACACACACACACAACACACACACACACACACACACACACACACACACACACACACACACACCTCCCCATTTCCACTCCCCAGAAATAATCATTATAGACAGTTTCTTGTAAAATCAAATACTTCGAAAATGGAAAACACTGTAAGAGAATTTATGGATTTCAACAATATATTAGATTAAAGAAAAATCTAGAGTTACCCCATGCCACTCAAGGTTGGTGAAATCTCAAATTCCCTTGGAACAACAGAATGACCAATTGCTGGGTGAGGGAATTGAAACAATAACCCTGTAAACAAACTGTCCAAAGCGTATGGCTGGAGACGGCCTACAGCAAAGATGGAATAAAGCCTTCAAGGAACACTACCTCCTCCGCATGGTTAACAACTTGATGACGTTCTTCAACATGTTTTAATGATTATCATACCTTCCCCTTCACAAAGGATTGATTTATTATGGTTTAAATTTAAAGAATACTGGTTTCCCAGTTTTGAATCAGGCTTAGATTACAGAACACATAAAATCAATGACTTTGTTCTAGGCAAGAAAAAACACAGCATTCATTTAAGTGCAAAAGGAACAGTCCCGGGGAAAAATTCTCCATGCAGTCCTACATGGTAACTGTTCCCACCGCCCACTTTTCCACCTCTACTCCTTTCTCCATCACTGTCAATTGGCACCGCCGCTTAACACTTCTATGGCACCTTAAAATTCACAGACAACTTCACATATTATTTATTTTCATCCTCAGAACAATTTTGTCAGGTAGAAAGAACAATCTTAGCTTTTCAATTTGCAGATAAAATAACTGAAGCTCAGAGCAGGGACGTAATTGGCTTAAGATAATTTATCCAGTAAAGGTATACTCGCCAGGTACACTGTTGATTTCTATGTGTCTGTCTCCAACTCAGATCTCCTCTCAACCTCTAGGACCCCCAATTAATACTCAACATCTGCACTTGGGCGGTCCAACTGTGGTTAAACTCACTTTCCAGGCCAACCCCGTAATATTGTCCCGCAAACTTGTTTCTCATTCAAAGGTTTCCTTTTTCAGGGACTGGCACCATTATCTTTCCAGTTGTTCAAGCCAAAAACCTAGGCATCCTTCCTACCCACCACCCCTTTTCTCAACATTACATATACACTCCATCATCACATCCCATAGATTTTGCCTTCTGAAAATTTCTCAAATTTGTCCATTTCTCACCGTCTCCACCATAAACGCTATAGTCCAATACCCCAGCATCTCTCATTGAAATAATTTCCATGTGACTCCCTGCCTTTACTTCATCACCCCTACTCCACCCATTCTCCATGCTACAGCCAGAGTCATCAGGTAGTTCCCGTGCTTAACATCTTTAGTTGGCCTCCTAGTGCTCTTCAGATAAAGATAAGAATCCTTAGTGTGGCCTTAGGGGCCAGTTTGATCTCATCCCTGTAAACTGATAAATGAGTTCTTTCCATAGTTTCAGAATACCATGATGTCATTGAAAATGTAAATGAATATTTAAGTTTTTTTTAATAATGCATAACATTTAATAAGTTGAGTCCATTGGTTCATTGTAGAATGAAGTTTGCAATTATGCATTTTTTAAGCATTAGTAACATATACAAATCTTGTTTATCTTCCTGAATTTCTTTCTTAAATATAACCAAATTCATTTTAGTATAACATATGCATCAAGATACATGCACAAATATATGTAATAAAATATATAATATTTATGTAATGTATGTAAATAATATATAGAACTATTTTCATTGTGCATAAATTTTGTCTCAGGCCTTTGGATAACTGGAGAAAGGGGGCCCTGACGCTTCTCCCATGCTGTATGGATTACATACCTCAGAGTCTAAAAACACGGTCAGCCTCATGGGTGTGGTTGTGCACTAGCCAGGGCCTGCTCTTAGGAGAACCCCAAGATTAGTTTACTGCCGTCTTGGAATTCTTAATTTTTGAACCAGGGCCTCGCATTTTCATTTGGCCCAGCACCCCACAGATTATTTAGCCCATCCCAGATAAAAAGAATCTTAATGTGTTAAGAGATGAATGCTCTCATGTTATCCAGGACCAACATGTTTATGGCACTCTAATTTCTGGATTTCACGAATTCTACAGGAGAAGAGGACCACCCGAGTCAGAACTGTCAGTCAGTGGGAGGATCTCTCTGTGTTGCGGCCAGTCATAGATTTCAGACCAACAAAACATAAGCTTCTACTTCATAAATGAGATTTCAAAATACTACAGTGAAACCTGGTGAACAACTTTGGCTAGTGAGTGAGGTAATGCCAACAGATGGTTAGTGCGGAACAGGCTCTGGATTCACTGTTACTTGAGAGAAGCCCTGGCCTAGAATAGGGGGGCTCGCTGGACACAGACAGGTATACATAACTTTACTAAAGAGTCTGGCGATGGCCACATCAGAAATACTTTTATGAATTATAAAACGTCCTTCAATACTTTAGTACTAAGCAAAATGAAGAGCTGAACCCCTGTGGGGAACTGTTTGCATGTTACTGACTGCTGTTCCCAGGGATGCAATTTTCATGGTGAGTAAACACTGTGATGGCGGGGGTGGGGGGGGAAATTCTGTGCGAAAGCTTACAGATGCTCATTTTAAAGCATATCACATGTCACTTTATCTCCTAGAAGTTGAAAGGCTGCTGGCAGCTGTAAGTTATTCTTTAAAAACCAATAATCATAATTATTTGGCTTCAAAAGCAAATTACCCTAGAAGAGTCGGTTTACTACTTGCCCTAATTAGCTTAGGTGAATTTAAAAATTAATCCCAAGGTAAGATTTAAATTTTAGGCTGGCAATTTTTCCCTATGACCTCAGAATTTACATAGAATATGAAAATTTAAACTTTCTGAGAAACTTATGCTTCTGAGAGAAAAAATTAAGTAATCACAGTTTCTAGAAATTCCCATCAGTGATAAATGGGAAACACTCAGGTGTCATGATACATTCAGGTATCAGACATGGGTTCAAGTCTCTGCTTTGCTATTTACTCTGTGACCCTGGGAAAATTACTTGATCTTTCTAAGCCTCTGTTTCCAAATTCAAAATAGGGATAACAACGCTCAATGCGTAAGGCTGATGTGAGGATCAAATTACATAACCAATGAATTTAACACAGTGACTGGGACATGAGAAACACTCTACCAATGCAGCTACCATCATCAATAGGATTCGTCCTCCAGGATTTTAATCTACTAAATAGTACCTTATTCACAGGAATCATGTTTTTGACATTGTGGTAGAAGCCAAAATAAACCATGTTGAAGACCCCATGACGTCCCAGCGTTGCTGTAAAGCCTTTGTTGAGGCCCTGGAGTCCCAAGCCTTCCTTCTTAATGATGTGTCTTGCATAACTCATAGTGGATGGTTGCTGCAGGAGAGAGGGGCAAAGCCAGAAAGGTTATCTTTGGGAATGTGCAATAGAGTAAATTCCGATTTAGCTTCCCTTCAAGCCAGAATTATTAGGGACTTGTTTTTTTTCAAACATGAACAATCATGCCTAAATCCCTGCTTTTAAAATTAGGAAACCCAAAAAGTAAACAAAATTGCATGCATAACAATAGGCCTCAAAGGGAAGATTGTTGGCAAAGAAAAACGTCTCTGGTAGGACTAGTGAAACTCATGTCATGTAATGACTATCACCTCTTTCAACATGTAAATAGTTGTATCCAATTCTGGATTAGCCACACTAATGGAAGGGATTAGCCATATAGATACACTGGTAGTCTGTTACTGTGCATAATCCACAAGGAATTTATATTTGGTTTCTGAATTCAGCATATTTACCTTTGTAATTATGTTTTTCTAAAGTGAATGTTACCATTCGTCTTGATTCCATTGGCTCAGTAGTTTAAACAGGCACTAGGTTAGAAATCGGGCATGGATAAATAGCAGTTGATTGTAGACTTCCTCAAGAGGGTGGGCAATCAGTGTGTGTTTTACTTGCTGTGATAAATGATAAATCGATAGTGTTGGGAGTACTGGGTTATCTTTAATTTACTCCTTGCCAGTCCTCTGGTTGATTACCCGAGGTTGAAATACCTTGACTGCTGGAATCCAGTCTACTGCTACTTCTAGAACACGCGGAAGGGCTCACTGTAGTTTGCCCTGAGCTATTTTAAATTAAAATTTCTTTTCTTTTATTGGGGGACAGTGTGTTTTTCCAAGACCCATCAGCTCTAAGTCAAGTAGTTGTTTCAATCTAGTTGTGGAGGGCGCATCTCAGTGGCCCATGTGGGGATCGAACCAGCAACCTTGGTGTTATGAGCACTGCACTCTAACCAACTGAGCTAACCGGCTGCCCCTGTCCTGAGCTTTATAATTCATGACAACACAACAATTTATGTGGGTTTTTTGAAAAGGTTGAGTGATTGTTTTCTTTTTGAGGTACAGAACAAAGGATATCTCTCTTGTTAAATTCTGACTGAATAGTAAATAGAGGAAAATATTTAGTATTTATTTATTGATTTTGCCCATGAGGCAAGTGGCTGATTTCACTCATAGCAAGTTGCTATTTCACTGGAGCAGGTTGCTGGAGTGGTCATGGCAGTTTGATGGGCTTTCTGACTACAGTGTTTTCGCATCACATGCAAGTAAGGCTGCCACTAGCAGAACAGAATAGCACAAATCCAATCAAGGCTTTTTATCCAACTTGTACTTCTAGCTATGTAATTAACACCATACATTAAATGAGCTTGTTTACATAGTAAACCCTATAGTTTTTGCTCATAGATGCCTTAAAAACTCCAGCTACAATTCTACACTCCATCTTTTCATTTTAGAGGATTCATTACAATAAATTATAGTAAGCTTAAGGAAAATCTCTTTTTTTCTAACATGAAAAAAAATCACATGAGAACATATCTTAAAACAATAAAAGACATTTCATATAGGAAACCCAAAAATTCTCAGAAGGTTAAAGTTCACTCTCTGTTTTACAAAACGGGACTTTTCTGTTTGGGTTCTGGCACATAGACTATCCACCCAAATGGTTTATTTTGGTTTTCAAAATAGACTTGAGGACAAGTTGAGCAGAAGGTCGTTGCTGTTGGAGAGATTCTGAAGTGCTGAGCAAAATGCCAGGCACTGCTCTTTTGCCCTGAGGAAGGCAGCCTACAGGACAGAGGAAAGAAGAGAGGGTGGCTTTCCTGGGGGCGGAAGCAATAAGGCAGAAGGGGGGCAGCCCGGGTCCAGGCTGACCAATGCCGGTGCTCCCTGCATCCAAACCACGTTTCTGTTCATCCTCACACAGTCTGAGGCCCTGAGGGCAGAAGAGATGGGGACTCACTCAGAGGCCATCTAAATTCTAGAGCAACAGGGGAACCAACAGCTTTGACTGAAAGTGCAGATGAACACAGCTTTCCCTAAATAAAACAGGTCTCAAGATGTTTCTGTTGTTTAAAAATCTTAGTGTGTTCAATTACTATTGTAGAAATAAGAGAAGACATTTACTAGATCTTGGTGAAGATGAACAAATATTCAAATGACATTTACTGATGGTCTGTTGCCTGATTTTCAACTCGCTTAGATATTAGGTGGGTACAAAGAAGTGTAACATGGATTTTGAACTCAAGTGCCTTGTTGAGTTTGAACTCTAGTTGTGAATCATTAAGTAAAGGGAAGCATTGTAGCTAAAAATAGGGGGTGAGAGCCAGACAGCCCCAGGCTCGAGTCTCAGCAATTCCACTTGTTAGCTCAGGCAGTTATTTTATGCTCTGATTTATCCTCACTTTACTCATCTGTGAAATAAGGATAATAGTAGAATCTTCTTCTTAGGATTGCTGTGATAAGTAAGTCAAAGAACTTTGTCCTTTGTGAGCATTCATTGTATGTTAACTGTTAATAACAATAGCAATTATGATGATAATAAAAAGTAGTTATAATAACAAAATAATGGGTAATTATTTTGTTAGTTGAAGGCAGTGACAATCAAAAGGTGGAGACTGATTCAGGGGAGAGGAAGCGCATGCATCGCTAGCCTCTTCCTTCTCATTCCTCTGACTATCCTTTCCTTTTCCCAGAGCCCTGGACCCTGTGACACAGTTCAACAGAAAGGCCTCCAGAATGCAAGATCATAGGTCTGTTTCCTCTGAGGCCCAACCAAATCCCGCCCCTGGGCTAAAGCTCTCCTTCCTTACCCCCAGAGAGGCTTTTCTCTCTGGAACAGTAGATCCTGTAAATGGGCCTCTTCCCTATCCTTCAGTAAGCGTTCTCAGTAAGAACTCTCTATTTGGTAAGTCTATGGACTGTAGAAGCAAGGCCACCCAGGAGCAAAGGTTGGGAATGGAAAAGCACACTAGCTGGGTCTCCACATCACACAGTTTACAGACTAGGAAGTACAGTCATGCATATTACCAGGTACCTGGAACAGGACAAGTTCTCGTCAATAGTATCCATTATCACAGATGCTTACTACTTTATATATATATCATCTTATTTAATCCTCTCAACAAGCGTGTGAGATAGGTATTATCAGTACCCCCATCTGATAGAAGCAGAAGCTAAGGTTAAGTTACCAGCCCAAGATGACAGAGTAAGTGGTGGTGCCAAAGCTCAACCTGAGCCCCCCACCCCCATATCCCCAAGACTCCCAACTTCATACTTTTATACTCTGCACGGTTCTGCCATCCTAGCATATATGATTGCTTCTCTCGACAACCCTATAGTGTAGGCAGCAGGTATATTCTCATTTTGCAGATGAGGAAACCAAGGATTATTACATAATATTCCTAAAGTGAAAACACTAGTAAACGGCTTAACCAGAACTCTACATTTCAGTGCTGTTCACATTCTGTGGATTCATTCTTGTTATACATATGTGGTAAGCTTTTCAGAGTTTGATCATCCAATTCATATAGGTAACAGATATAATAACACAAATATATTTTTCTGGTAACTTGGGACTTTCAGGTAAAGAGAAACCTGAACTCTAATTCCCATTAAAATTAGAAGTGTGCTTTTTGCTTCATTCAGCAACATTGTATGACACACATGTAAGCAAATATTTAATTAGAAAGGCAAAACATGACTTCCACTAGGAGGCTTAAATAGGAAAATATAGAATCATTTTGACTAGATCACTGTAAACACAAGGAATTTTACTAACATTATTTGATTACTGAGCTTCCATTTCAAAACAAAATGGTGGTTGATTAGCATCATCAGCCAAATGATTCCAATACTATCCAATCCAGCAGGTCACCCAATATTTAGATTCACTCCAATTTCCATGCTTAGTTAAAAATTGTGGGCCAAATGGCATTCTAACTTTCCTAGATGTAACTTTCATGGACTGCACCAGAGCTGCAAGCATGGAAGAATAAGTGGATCGGAATTTGGCTAATACTGTTGTGCTACCACTGGTTTATAGAAATCCCAGTTCACTGGTCCCTACCAGAAGTATTTCCATTTGAAGTCTTCTGTAACTTTCATTTCAGCCATTGCCAACTGCTAATTCTGGGAACCCCCTGCTCTCCCATGCATCATTTATTCAACAATGTCTATTGAAAGCCCCCTAGGTGCCATGCACTGTGCTAAGTGTTTAGTACAGTACTTTGCTCATATTCTAGAAACTTAAAATATTTTTGCTTTGATTTTTATTTGGAGAGATATACTGATAATTTTTATAACTACCCATGAGACTATTCCATGATGGTTATGAAATGTGGAATCAAATTTCTGTTTTAAAAGTCCTTAAGAAGCTTAGTGAAAAGATCCTTTGCCTAAACAATGCTCCCCTGGCACCACTCTGGGGCACTGATTTCTTACTCTCTGAGGGCCCAGCATTACCCACAAATCACTGAGATGATTTATGGTAGCCTAAGCTATGTTTCCTGGAGTTCTTCCATCCAACTACTGACCATACAGACTCTCATTAGCTTGTGAGATCACAGACAGAGGTTTTAGGCAGCAGGCACTGTTCCCTGGGCAAAGAGCAATCAGAGGCTGGCCAGCAGGTATAGGCATGGGGTGTGTCGTGGATTTCCTCCACCTCTAAAACCAGAGAAGAGCTCGAAGCACACCATGTCAAAAGACAGCATGCTCCACATGCGTCCCTTTACTTGCTTGCTATGGCAAGGTGAATTTTGTTGCATTTTAGAGCTAATAGAGAAAGGGTGTTGCACTGGATTTCATCACATGGCTGGAAAGCAAGCCGGATGAGCCCTTTATACAATGGAGTGTGTGTCCGTATCTGGGCCTTCAGAAAAATACTGCTTTGTCAAAAAAGAGGAGACCCAATTGTTACATTTAGGTAGGAAAATACCCTTGCTCTTCAGGAGCTAGGAGATCACTTGTGCTTTTCATTACACAAATGAAGTCTTGAAGCATTTTCATAAATTTGAAAAAGAAAAAAAAAAAGAAAAACCTTTC